TTTCTAAGGCGGGTGAGGGAAGATACGTGAGCGCACCCCAGAGCTCATTCATAGTTCTGGGCGACTATGGTGGAGGCGGATTTCTAAGGCTGCCTGCACCTGCCTATCCAGCTCAGAGATGCTGCAGTACAACTGACACCTGGCTCTGTCAATCCAAGACTTGTCTTCCAGCCTGAGAGAGCATGATGGGTTCTCAAACCTCGGAGACAATGGTGAACCCCCTTGCGCCACCCATCCATGAAGAACTCAAATCATTAAGGAGCTTTCCTCGATTTGTGCTGAGTTCCCCAACTCACAGAATGTTCAAGATTCAATTTCTCTCCCACCATTTTCCTATGGGTCAGAAACACAGTAGAGCTAGTTACAGCCTCAGATGTCCTAGTAGAGGCTGTTTTTCTATGCAGTGTGCATGGATTTACGTTGTGTTGGTCTGCCTAGAAGCTTTCCTGACTCACAGATCTTGGTGTGCAGCAGGTGAAGACCTTGCTGGCTCTGGCAGGATGCTCAGGCAATGTTGCTATTTTTCTACTGCAGCACAGTCTACAAAATTGTGAAGTTTAAACATGAACACTGTGAAAGCACTTCATGCCTTGCGAGAAAGTAGTGAAAACCCCGTAGAATCCAAACCCACACTTAGCGCTTCTGCACTGGTGTGACTGGGATGTGCTTGGCAGGTCACTGATTTTTGACAGTGTAACTGAAAGGTAAGACAAGCCACAGGAGAGAGGAAAGAGCCCATGCTTCACCCACAGCCCTCCTGTGAGGTCACAGGAGACTTGCTGTAAAATCATGACTATTCATACTGCAAATCATCCTTAATCAAAGGACGACCATGTGGGACCTATGTCGGACATCAAGTTTCTGTTTTAAATCCTTGTATTCTGGCCAGTGCAGTGACTCATGCCTGCAATCCCAGCTCTTTGGGAGGACAGGTGGGAGGATTAACTGAGGACAGGAGTTCAAGGCCAGCCTGAGCAACTCCATTTCCACAAAAAGTAAAAAACTCACCAGGTGCAGTGGTACACACCTGTGGTCCCAGCTGCTCAGGAGGTGGAGAGGGGAAGCTTGCTTGAATTCAGGTGGTCGAGGTTGTACTGAGCCATGATTGCACCACTGAGCTCCAGCCCAGACAACACAGCAAGATACTGTCTTCAAAAAAAGAATCACTTGATTCTGTTCTACCTGCCAGTAAAATTATCCCTAAATCATTTTTATTGGATGAGATGTAATGAAACTTTACCATATTTCAAGTATCACCACCTTTTTTTTTTCTGGGACTATAAGCTCCCTAAAACAGGATGTAAAACGGACACAGTTCAAGCGTGTTAAACTGCATGAGCCTCTCAGGCTGACTGTGGGCTGGTGACATGCTGACGCCTCCCTCTCAATGAGTCCCCCGCAGTTTAAATATGCCCAGCAGAATCTGAGGGGTCTACCTATTGTTGTTTCTTGAAAAAAAAATTGGAATTACTATATTACAAGTTCTCTCTAAAACTCGAGACTTAGCACCTCCCAGCCATCGTGTTGTATGTGTCTCATCCATTATTTTACCTAAAAACCACACCAGCTTTCTCAGAATGAACAACCATTCCCCTAGTCTTATGTTAATAAGTAAAAAATTAATAAAAAAGACTTAAAAATACATGGAAGTTATGCAAAATCACAGCTATCCACTTCATTTTCCTGAGCCTCAGTTTCCCCTTATGATAAGAATTCTTACAACACTGTCTCAGAGGGTCGTTATGGAGATCAAATAAAATGCTGTATTGCAGCCCTTTGCACAGTAATTGACACACACATTAAGCATTTAATGAAAGCTGCAGTAAACCAGAACGCTTTATTAACTAGAATACAGCATGACCCCGAACAGGCCACATAAAAAGAGCTCAAAGAAACATATGCAAAGAATGTGGGCAAATGTATTTTCAGGTTATCAGAGTCTTTAATTACACTCTTAGGGAGATGGAAAGCTTGCTTTCACAGTGCTTTTGACAGCAGAAAACAAAGTGTGCTTTTCTCTCTCCCTCAGCCCACGGCTCTGTGTGTAAGGGAATGGAGTCTGAGAGCCAACGTTCGAGGAAGTCAGGAATCGTTGTGAGGACCCAGATGGGGAGTCATGGGAATAGGCCAAAAGCTTGTCAAAATTTCAACATGGTTTAAAAAAAAAGCTCACAAAAATCACTTAGCCACACAAGTTTTAAAGTACGTTCTGACAATTTCCTTAAATAAGGGCTGTATCTACAACAGACCTGATTTAAATTATATTTTATGCATTCAATTGTCGAAAATCAACTCCATTCTGCACAGATTGCCATATTTTTTCATAACAAATGATGAGAGATAGCATTCGTAAGAAAGCCCGTCCATAAGATGTTACTTAAGAAATATTGATATTTTCCCAGGGTTTTCTCATTAGTGTCACTCAGTTTGTAGAGGCAAACATTCTGATTTGAGGAAGGAAGCAGGAGACTGCACTTTATTTATGCTCTTCACGTATTTCTTCTCAAGTATTTATAACCATTAGAAAGAAACAAACTTTGCATTCACAAGCTGACAACGAAACAGGACAAATATTCGTCACAATTCTCCACATATCCTAAATAGACTCCAAAGAGGAAGGCCTGAAGGAACTTCTCTAAATATAGTCAAATGGCAAATTAACCTAAAACTCAACTGAGTAAAGAATAACTTGCTCCCACTTCCTCGGCACCTAACGTAAGTTGAGACTAATTGCACCTCCATATAAAAGGGCCTGGTGTTTTCTTTGGTGGGATAATATACCTGAAACTTTGGCCAAAAATGGTTTTGTGAAAATGGTTTGCACTGCCTACTCACCAAGTGTTTGTACCCACTCCTGGAATAGTCAAATATATTAGCATCTATGCACATATCTTCAGCTAACACTGACATCAACATTTTGAGGAATCGTCTGAATCAAAACAATAAAGCATTTTTCCACCAACAGATATTTAACACCTTCAATGTACAAGCATTTTGCTAAGTAGTTAGACAAAGTAAAGGTGAAAGTGTCAGTGACATGTGACCCAGGAACTTGAGATCCAGTTAACCGAGTATACCGCTAACTTAAACCTGTACCCCGCAAACATAGCAAAGGCCAACAGAAAAGCAAGAGTGGTAAGATTTCCAGACAAGAAAAAGGCTTTTTTTTTGGTAAGTGGGAGTCTTGGCTATCACTGTGGTGATTAGATCCCCTGGTCTGGAAGACTTAGCTTCATATTCTATAGCCCAGGGTGTGGTCTTTTCATCTTTTTTAATTTCTTTTGTTGTTGTTTTTTTTTTTCCTTAACTCATATTTGCTGTTGTTGCTGTCATTTCTATAAGTAAGGATACTGGAATGATTTTATTTCATAGACCTTAAAGTTATAAAAGCAATTCAGGCCGGGCGCAGTGGCTCAAGCCTATAATCCCAGCACTTTGGGAGGCCAAGGCGGGTGGATCACAAAGTCAAGAGATCAAGACCATCCTGGCCAACATGGTGAAACCCCGTCTCTACTAAAAATACAAAAAAATTAGCTGGGCATGGTGGCACGCGCCTGTAGTCCCAGCTATCCAGGAGGCTGAGGCAGGAGAATTGCTTCAACCCGGGAAGCGGAGATTGCAGTGAGCCGAGGTCGAGCCACTGCACTCCAGCCTGGCGCCTGGTGATGGAGTAAGACTGTCTCAAATGAATAAATAAATAAATAAATAAATAAAAGCAATTCATTGATTGAAAATCAACTGCAAATGTTTATTCAGGAAGAAAATGTTATATAAACAAGGAATGAAACCTGATTTTCTAACATTCAGAAGAGTGATATGGCAACACATATGAAAACAATAAAAGTGGCCATATTAAAAACTCAGCAGTTCTCCTTTCTCTCAGAATTTTGCTGAAAGATGTGAATGGAGATTGATGCTCACAGGGCTTTAAATACGTCCCTTTAAGTGCTGTTTATAATAGATAAAAGTTGGAGTAACCCTGAAAGCCGAGTGGTGGTGGCCTAATTAAGTCAATTACTGATATTTGAACGGTAGACTGCTCCATACCACTGAAAATTACGTGCTAGAGCTCTTGAAATCCTTGCATGAATTCTGAGTTTATATTGTTCAGTGCAAAAAGCGAACAATAAAGTTGATTGCAATGCATGTTAAGATCTTCAACTATACGAATAGAGAGAGGAAATGGGGCAGCCCTGTTTATCTCCAGGTATTGGGGTCAAAGCCATGGTGGGCATTTCTGTTTATCTGCAGGGTTTTGTGTGTGTGTGTGTGTATGTGTGTGTGTGTCTTTAATTTCAATCCATGAATGTATATTGCTCCAAGGGGGAAAACACACACCTGTTAAGATAAAAAATAGCTCCCCAAATAAAAGCTAAATCAAACAAAAAACAGATAACAAAAATCCAGAAATGCTTATTACACAAACACCAGATTCCCTCTATGACTCCGACATGGCCAGACACCTTCCTTCATCTCCTCCGAAGTATCCCAGGTCCTTTCTGCTGACAGCCTCATGCCCATTCCTACGGAATTCAGCAGCTTCCCAGAAGTGTTGCATCAAACCCTGTGCAAAGTGACTTCCTCCCGCAGCCACCCCAACTCATGGCTCAGAACTTTAAGGCGTGAACCTTGATTTCGAAGAAGTCATTCCCAGCGAACCACCCTGAAACCCTGTGGGTCTTTCCCACCTGGAAGGAGTAGGGAGTAGGGTGGTTTGGGAGATAGTCTTATTTTCAGAGCAACAACCCTTTCCCTGCCTCCTCCCACTGCCTGACCCTGGCAGGATGAATGGCTCTCAAAATGAAGGCTCCACTTGCCTCTCCAAAGGGTCAGGGCTCATCCATTCCTAGTGAGGCTGCCCCCCATTCACTGAGTAATTACAGTTGGAGACATTACAGCCTCAGACACTGAACAGCTGAGATTCTGAAAATCCTTAAGACAGGAAAACTATAAACATTAATAATTAATTTGTTTTGACAACTTCTTCTTCCTTTTCTCAGGCGTTCACAATCCATCACCTTAAGTGCAAGCACATCGCTAAGAACTCCGCAAGGATTAAGAACCAATAAAAAGGAGGCAACGACTTACTAGAAGAGATTTACTAGTGGTGGGGGATTCAAGGAATCCACTCTCTACTCTGAAAGAAACACGCTCCTTCCAGTCTCTTCTCTGTGGACTGAAATCCACAGATGTCCCAGCCAGCCCTCTGCAGTGCAGATATATCCCCCAAAAGACTGGAACCCCGGCGGTAAGGACGCTCAAGCAGTCGCCATCGGAGATGCTTTGAATAATCAACTTTCTACTAATGCAGAAGCAAATGAACGATAAGCAATGTAAACACATATAGACAGGCAGAAATTGAACAAACAATGGGAATTGAAATAAGAAAAAAGATAAGCAAAGTCAGTAAAGAGAAGGAAAAGATGTGTGTTTCTTTCAGGCTATTTTCATGACTGTTTTTTGAAATCTAGCTATATTTTTTAAAGGGAAGTGGGAGAGAATTTACATTGAGTCCCTATACCCCAGATTTTTTTTTTTTTTTTACTTCTCCAACTTAACCCCGCACCACTGTGTCTCAAATGAGGAAACTGAGGCTCCAGAAGTCGAACAATGGAAAATAATAGAGTTGGACTAAAACAAAGGGCTGTTTTTTGGGCATGGAAGTCCATCTACTTTCCATCAGATCACATCAAGGTACCTCTCACAGGCTGGTTGTGTGATAATCAAATGAGTTTTCAGTCTTGTGTTTACATGGGAAGTGTGTGTAAAGAAGCAGGTCATTGGGGTCCTCTGAATTCATTTTGAAAGCTTTCATCTTGCTCTGTGCTCTGTGCTTCTTCTTCACTACTGGCCTTTGCACTGTTGAAAGCACATGCATTTCCTTCTATCCAGCAAGTGCAGTAATGTTTTCTAACGTGCTTATTTTCCAGTAAGCCAGCAGCACATTCAAAATAAAAACTTTAAGGTCTTCTTCACTTAATATCAAGTAGCAACAGAAGACTTAAATGGGTTTGTTCTTTCTGCATTCAGCCCGCAATGATGGACATTCACCCTTTGGGAGCCACCTTTGCAACCACGGCTTACGGTGTCACTTTTCCTTAAGCATTTAGGGATAAGATTTAGTAATGATTACATTCCAACATTTAAAACGATCAAGATAAATATCGCTACTGTTTTGTTTCTAAAGATTGATGAAGAATTTGTTAGTCAGTATATCACACATTCTGCATATATAAATATAATGTCCTTCACAGACAATATCTGGTATAAAATTTAGTTCCATGTTGAAGGGCATCAACTTAGTGATTCTGTGAGTCAAAAGCTCACTTTTCCATTTCTCTGGGTTCTGACACTCAGCTCTTCTGCAAAGGTGGAGGTCCAGGATGTCTAGTGCCTCTCAGCTCTACCTGAGAAGCACCCAAGGCTGGCCCTGCCGAGTGCTGCAGACAGAATTCACGTGCGGGGGGGGAGTGGGGGGGGTGGGGGGTGGGCGGGGCCCTTCATGCAGCAGAGGCCCATACGAGATGCTGCCACATATTTCTATCTTATTCCTTGATAAGGAGAAGTATTTGGAGATGCAGAGAGTCCCACCATTGGATAGTGCAGACTACTGGGGCAGTTTGAAGAAGTGGTACCTGCGGATTGGCTCCGAGCCCCAAAGCCATGTGAGGTGAGAGACTTTCACTCGTGGTGAGCCTGGTGGACTCCACGGCTGTTATGTCAGCCGGAGGTCAAAGAGGGCAATCCCCGACTTGTGAACCACTACCATATCCACAGCAGAAGGAAAAGGGAAGTCCGTCTTTGTGAAGAAAATGTAGACAAAGGGCAGCAAGGGGTTTTTGGCTCAGACGGTGGAAAGGAACCAATAGGCCACTTCCTTTCGCCTCCCCTTCTGCATGTGCCCGTCCCTCCCTTCTTTAGCTTCTCTGTACATTGCTTGTCTTCCTAGACCTGATTAGCTGATCACAGCTATAAGGTTGGCCAACAGAATGTCTTCCCCCGTCAACACACAGAAAATACCGATCAGTATTTTCTCTCTGAAGGCCATCTTTATTATGTCACTCTGTTGTTCAAGAAATAGTCTTGAGTCCCTGCCATGCACTAAAAGTATAAACTTTTTAGTCCAGTTCTAAAGATAATCAGTTCTCCATAATCTAGTTTTACTGATCTAGCACTCTCTTTTCCACCAGGCTGTTACATTTATTTGGGGTACAGGGGCTTCTTGAATGAGTTTCACTGGAAATCCCACCTATGTGTCATGTCTATAATGGTTTTATTAAAAACCCTCCAAAGCACAGCTTTGAGATGGCTGGCAGAGTTCTGAAATACAATCAGCAAGGCTCTAGTTAGGCTGTTGGTGCTGCCTGTGAAATTTAAATCAGGACAATAAATGATGTTTCTCATGCGAAGTTTGTCAAAAGACCCAGGCTATGAAATATGGACAGAAAGACACCATGTCACAGCAAACACATGAGGAGCAGGGTGTCAAAAGTCTAGAATAACAGGGTTCGAGACTTTTGATTGTGTTTGGCTCAATTATTATACATCTACTATTCACAAAGCACTGTGCTTTTGTGTCTGGGACTCAGTCTCTGTGAGACTGGCAGAATGAGCACAATAGTCCTTATTTTGCAATCTGGATTGGGAAACCTTGGGCCAAAAGCAGGCAGAACTCAGACCCTTCACTCCAGATACAGCACGGGTGTGGGAAGGAGGCGGGGGGAAAAGCAGCTCTTCATGACAGGCCACCAACTCCAACTGCCATTCCAAAAAAAAAAAAAAAAAAAGCCTGTGGAATGACGCCCCAATGCTCACCTAGTTCTTAAAAGAATTTTAATTCCCTGATTTGATACAATATTTGTCACATAATCCCATCCTCATCCCCAGATGGCTATCTGTTATTTTTGCTGTGTTATGTTCATTTAAGTTTCTTCTGATGATGACATCTTAATTTTCTCTAGGTTACAAAGCACCTTTTCTTAATCTTAATTCTTGGGATTTCCAGTGGGATTGACCCCAGCTCCAGCTCACTGGGTGGAGCAGCTGGTAATTCATTGCTGCCCAGTGGGCACATTGCATTCCCTTGGCCATGGCTAGGACCACCATGATTCACTCTGACTCATGCACAGCCAATGAAAGTGTTACTGAGGCTGCTGAGAGAGGGGCACTCTCTTTGTTCTGTGAGATTTGAACAGGCAAAACTGATGGTGGTCATTTTCTCACTGCGTAATTCTGAAGATGAAGCCAACATTGGGGATGATAGATCCAAGAGATACCAAGAAACTGCATCTTGATGACATAAATTGGGCCCTGGTTCCAGCCATGTATGAAGTCAGCTTTACCCATATCCTTTTCTCATAGGGAACATTAATTTCCCTCATTTTCTTTAATCCAGGCCATTTTCTGTTTTCAGTCTCTTGCAAATACTGACACGGATATTTTGGAAGGATGTAAACCAACCACTAAAGGCAGCCATGCTCACCACCCAAAGACACTTGTGGACTTGGGTGACAATGTCCTGACCTTCTGCTCTGGACACAGACAGACCCCAACTCCAGTCACCTGAAACCGGCCTGCCAGAGTCCCCATGCAGCCCCCGCAACAAATCCTCTTGCCCCTGAAGTATAGGATGATGAAACACAACTCACGTGACCCAGTTTCGAGCGTCGTTCTGAAAGAATGATCATCCAAAGATTAAACTCCCAAAAATGTTTGTTCAAAAAGAAACAGAAACCAGAAAGTGGAGTATTTAGAATAAAATAAAAAAAGAATGATAGCGACCAAAAATCCCTAAATGCACTTCCTAGTAGAAAATACTCCAAAGTCAACCAAGTTCACGGGAAAACGCTATGGACAGTGACTTTACTCAGCTGCCATTTGCAGCTCTAGCCCCTAAGTTCCCTAAGTTTTTTTATCATTAGTATATGGCTCTATCTTTGTTTCAGGCACATAACAATGAAAGTAGTTGATATATCTTAGATATGCGTGAATTACATATAAAGTAATCCTGATTAAGGCTGAAGGCTTTAATTAAATGAGCAATTAGCCCTGAGCATGGATATTCATACAAAAAGAAAATATGTTAATTAATTTGGATAATTATTTGTTCCTGTGAATACCAGCCTGCCCTGGGCTTTGTGCTACACCAGAAGTCTTACCTACTGCAGTGAAAGATGGGGAATGGCAGGGTCAGGACAGTGCTCCACTGAGGGGGAGGCTCTAGCTTCTCACACCAGTTAGGAAAGGCTCAGCCTGCTAGCTAGCACCTCTTCACCCTCTGTCCTCCACCTACTCGGATGTCTCACACCCAGCCTGCAAGTGGATCTGCTCCACCTCGAGAGACTTCACCTGGCCCCACCTGCTGCCTGACTGGACTAGATGGTGGAGTTATGCTGAAGGAGTTAAGGAGAGAAAGAGACAGAGACAGAAAAGAACACAGTGAGAGGGAGAAAGTGAGAGTATGTGAGAGACAGAGAAAGAGAAAAAGAAAAAGAGCAGATCCACAATGTTCTGTCTCTCGGTGTGTCTCTCTTTCGCCATGTGGTGAAAGTCAAAACAACATTAAGAAGTGAGGTGAGTTTCTCTTTATGAAAGGTATTACTTACACTTGTGATAATGTTGGCTAGTTTTTAGTTGTGTAAGTCTTAAAGGGAGGTAATTATATAACTTTCTTTTCTCCAGGGTTTGTAAATCACAGCTTGCTAATTCATCATTTAAAAGTACGTGTACACTTTTCAAGTCTACAATCTATAAGAAGTGAGTTTTTTTTAAAAAAAGAAAAAGAAAAAAAGCACACTAGTAAACATTGCAAGAGCAATTTACATTAGACCATTTCTCCCTATACACCCTTACACATGCGCACATGATTATTTTTAAAGTCATTTTCCTGAAAGTAGTGTTCTAGCCTAGCAGAGACCAGGGCCAGTTAATGCAGAATTCAAGGTTGATTGCCTTGGACTAGGTTCTCAAAACTACTGAGAATGAATAAGAACAATAAATGAGAAAAATGAATGGATGGAACGGGTTATAGGCATAACATTGGAACTGAAAGACTCCAATATTCTATGTCAAAATAATAACCATGAGCAAATCACCAACATTTAGTATTTACTCAATAACATAACCAGAAATATTCAAGAGAGGATACGAAAAAATGTTTCCGAAGAGATACAAGTTAAAATAAAAATGTAATGTCATTTTATCTCATTAATCAATATTTTAAATTAATAATGATTATTGTTTACAACTATCGATCAATATCTGGCATTTCCTTATATTGATGGTCAGCATGAAAACTTACCCCAAAT